GCAAAATATCATATTGCTTTTCAAAGTATAGAATTTCTAAACGAAAGTGCATATTCAAATCTTGAATTTTCTGGCACTTAAAAAATGGCTTACAAAATCATCAAAGCCTTCACAAAATCATTTGTGACAGGGGACAGCCAAGTAAAAAGGAAGGAGGGCAGATGCTGCACAGATAGTCCTTTCAATAGCATGCTCACTGTAAAAGCTATTCCAGGTACCTATGACTTGGCTTTCACAACAAGGTTAACCACCTACAAGAGTTATCCATCACTCAAGGCAAATATCACTGCACTTGGTTCCCTTTGCCACAGGTTTCAATCACCAAGCAACTTTCTTGAGCCTTCTCAGGACTGCATTCCAGAGCAACTGTTGTTCAATTAAAGATCTCCTGCTCCCTCTTGATACCATCTACCTGAAACTGTCCCCCACAAAAAACATATACACACACTTGCACATACACCACTGAAACAGAGAGAGGAAACATTTAGTTCAAATAATGTCCTCTAACAATTCTGACCAATTGCTCATCTACTTTTGAGGGTTTCATAAAGGACTTGGAAGAGTGATTCAGCTACAGACAGCAAATATTTAGAAAAGCTTGACAGTATCAAATGTATAAACAGTTCCTGTTGAAATCTGGTTTTCATAGCTTTTTTGACTTTTAATAAATGTGCCTAAGTCACTATCCTTTTATGCATAATTCAAAATCATTTACATTTCCCCAGCACAGTACTTGAAAATCTGGAGCAACCTCCACACATTAAAAAAACACAAAAACCATGTGTTTACTCAAAATAATAGTGAAATGACAATTTTGATATGCAATTTGTTCTAAATCTTCTTTTAAAAATATTTTTAAAGTTAAATGCTTTTCTCTTAAAGAAAACATATTGTATTTTAGATCATCAAGTATAAAAGGCTTTGTACAAATATTACTAATATCCTCTCATCTTCTCTCTACCAAAGGATAATCTCAGGTTAACACAATAAAAAACAAAATGCTTAGACCATCTCTTACTGGTCATCTTACACCTGGCCATAAGTATAAGGAAACACACAAAAAGCACTATTTGGCAGCTGTACTACATATCACAAATCACCCTTTGGAATTAATGTTTAGGTGTTCAGCCATTAAATAGTTTTATAAATTGTTATATTATGATTTAAAAATTTTTATGTATTTGGTGAATTGAAAAAAATCAAGCAAACCATAAAATCTATTTGATGTATAAATCTCATTGGTTTCTAACATTTAATTAAATGATGTAAAAGCATCAAATAACCAGTCTTTTAAAAATGTAAACTAGAATTTTTAACCAATGTCATCAAATTCATTTTTTCCTGTATTGCTTCTATTTTAACTTTAATACTTATCTCTTCGAGGTCACACCGATGTGCAACTCTCTATGGTATTACCTAGCACCATGTGAAAAAATTACTAACAATATTTTTTTTTCCTAGGAAACTAAAAGTTTAACTCCAAAGCCAAATCAAAAGTAATCTTACAGTTTAATATCATATATTCTGTGTTAATATATGTTATATCTACACATGGAATCTATGTAAGCAAATGCAGGTATTAATTTCTAAGTCAACAGATTCTTAAAATAGGAAGATACCACACAATTTCAACCTAATAAAAGTCACTTCTGTTTTTAGAAAACTAAAAATTGATGCAGCAAAAGACTTTGCTGCAGGGAGGGCCTGAGATTGGGTGGTTTTTTCTTCTTTTCGGTATTTAATTCAACGATACACAATGTAGTACATACAAGCAAAATACAATTGAGATACTGTTTTCTTTAACATTCCTATAGGAGACCAAATTCATTTGCATTGGAGTGAACACAATTACTGATTTTTAACTCATGAAAGACAAATTCATAGCTTTTTCCTACACTATCTCATAGTATTCACACCATCTCAGTGAAAGAATGTCTAGAACCACTTAGTTACTTCCTAGAGGTGGGCAGCAGTTGCATTTTTCAAAGTTTTGTTCCTCACAGAATCATTCAACTTTAGATACAAAAGCACATTCAAGTTAGCATGTTCAAAACAAGGCATGCAATATGTGTGTATGTGTGTGTGTGTATATATATACGCATATACACATAATTTTTAAGTTAACCTTCATCAACACCAAAAATGAAATTTGTTAAGGAAGTTTCCAAAACTTTTAAAAGCATTTTAAAGCTTACCAGCTTTTTCCTCTTTAATAAACATTTGACCATATGTACTACCAAGAAATACTGATAGAGAAAAAAGATTCAAACACTTTTATTCAACAGAGCCTGAAACCAACAAAGAGAAATAAATGCTTTATGTGTGGTTGACATTAGAATAATTTGCATTTAATAAGAATGAAACATATGTTGTAAAAAGAAAAGAGTTTTCTATTTCTAAGTGACCTGAGAAAATAATGGTATCTAGTCTATTATGCTATTATAAAATGCCAGAATATTTAACAAAAGATACAATTGGTAAGCAAATGGCATGCCAATAATTTCATAAGATAAAAACATCTCCTCCCAAACTATCATTAACTTTAAAAAATCTATGAGATATATTAAAACTAATTCTTGAGAAATCAAAGAAATCACTACAATACAAAGAAAATGCACTCAATTGTTGAATGACTTTTAAGTAAGCAAGCAATGAGGATGAACTGTTTTCTTCCCATTTTCACTTCAACTAACACAAAAACCACATATAGAATTGACTTAACACTGCCAAATTTACTTCTAACTTGTTAATATTCATAGAAATGCAACACAAGAACACCAAAATGTCTCCATATAACATAAAAGCTTTGGTTTCAAATGTCACAGTACCCTGGGTTTAGAAAGCCACCAACGTGGTAGTGTCCAGGACATGAGAACATACAGCTGCTTCATCCCTGAAGTCTGATCTCAGTACACAATACCGGTCATTAGCTATCTCTCCCTTAGCCTGCAGTACAAGTAGCTAATTTCTGCATTTAAACTAATAAAGGAAAGGAAAAAAGATTAAAACCATCCAATCAGAAATGATGCAACTCCTCTACAGCAGCAGCTTATGCATACATTTGGAATGTTAAACATTTTCAGTGTAGTGAATCATACACAGCGCATTTTAATCTACCTCCTGGGTATTTCACATCGCCCACATGCTCAAAGAAATCATCAACTAATAGGGCTGTATAAATCCTAGAATGCTCTTTACTTAATTTATACTAAAAACTGGGGACATGCCTTTAATTCTGAACTCTTAAACAGAATAAGATTACTTAAATGACATTCTGGCTAACAGCAAATAATCTTCATTTTGAAAGAAAAAAGATAAAAAGTAGTACATTTGTGAGAAGTTTTAGGAGCTGTTAATAACTTTAGATAAACCAGTATTGCACGTATACTACAAAATCAAATGCACACTGCAACATGAAATGAGACACCAACAAAGATAAAATTCTAGTGATTTTTTTTTTTTTTTTTTTTTTTTTTTTTTTTTTACTAATTATAACCCCCAAAAGTATTCACGACCACAAACAGCCAACAGAATTAGACATTTACAGAAACATAGTGTATCAATTATTTGGAGTAGTTATTTCACTGTTCAATATATTCATTCTGCAAATTTTCAAGTGTTATGAGATAGTAATTTATATTTGCAGTAAATAATATATCAGAAAGCTTCAACTTGGACTTCTCAAGCAAAAAATACTATTTTAAAGAAAAGTATACAAATTTAGAATACCTTATTGAAAACCAATTGGTTACATATTACATCTTTCCCAATAGAGGAAAGAACTAGCTTAATATTATACATGAAACCGCAAATCACAACTCACCTTTTTTAAATTAAAAAAACAGGATTTAAGTAATTTTCTCATATTCCACAGAAGTCATTAGCAAATAGTTATTCTGTTGCTTACTTAAAATAAAACATATCTGGAAATGTGGCACACAATTTTTAAAAATCCCTTCAACAACACATCTAAGTATTTATAAAACGAGGGTAGTTTGTTTTAAAATCTACTCAACCCTGGCAAAAATCAGGTGGTTACACTGTTGACTGATAAACTGTAAAGGTAGTAATCAAAAACTTCACTGAACAGCTCCAGTCCAGCTACCTAATGACTAATGGTGAAGAAATGTATGTGAATGGGATATAAACTAAGTTTCGACACACAGCAGAAGAAAAAAATTTAGAATGAGTAATAAAGGGCCCAAATTTAAAGTCCACAATAAACTTTAAACAAAGATGTTTTCTCATTCTCTTCTCATGTTAGCAAATCACTGTGGAGAAATCCAACCTCCACAAAACTTGTTACTCCGTCATTAAAAACAGTGCACTTAAATATAACTATAGATTTCACAAGGGTATTTATTTTAGCCGCAAACATTTCTTACAAGCAACAACAACAAAATGCTCAGAAGCTATACTCAGTAGTCTCAGTGACTGAAAAAGTCCGGCTTTTAACTGCCATCCAATCCAAACAACCCACTTCTTTAGAAAGCTATGCAAAATATTGACCCCTTACTGAATTATTTTACTATTCAACATTAAACTACCTAAAAGAGAAAAGTAATTAATCGCTAAGTTTAGTTAAGCAATTTAGCTGACATAGTAAATATTTACTCTTCGCATCTCACAGGAAGTCTTGACAAGCATTTGCTGCTATTCTGCTGGGGGTAGGGGCGGGAGATGGGGGTGGGAGGCAATTTTTGATAAACAAGTTACAGGGTCCCAGCGAACTGAACATAGCTAGTGTTCGCCACCCCGACCCCCAATTAGGCACCAGATATTTTCCAAGAACAGTAAACACCTTATATAATGAAAGTAAAAAAAAAAAAAAAAAAAAAAAGTAGCTTTCTAAACTATGCATCTCCACTAACGAAACAAACAAAAGCCCCTTTAAAAACTACCAAAAGCACGTTTTCTAAAGCTGTGTGTATGTTTTTTACTTATACGTAAGGCCAATCGCAAAAAAAAAAAAAAAAAAAAACTAAGCAAAGTATATTTACCTTAGCTTTTTAGAGACTGAGTAATCAACTTCCATGATTTTCCCATGCAATTCCACTTTACCTTTAAAACAGAAATTAAAGCACTCAGAACCTTGCTTAGATCAAGCCCGCGGGGGTCTAGGAGGGGCACGCACGGAACTCCACGCTCGGGCTCCGCCTTCGGGCGCCCCCAAGGGGTCTCCTACCCGGATCGAGCTGGGCGAACTTGGTGCCCAGTGGAAAGAAAGGTGGGCGCCCCGTGTCTCGGGACAAGGCGGGAAGGGTGCGAGCCCGGGTCGGACCCCAGGTATAGCCGTGGGTGGCATTACCGGAAAAACAAATTTAATAAAGAGCGGCGCCAATTTGAAAGGATGAGCTCATTTGAAACTCAAGCTGCAGGGCTGGCGCGGCCCCGCTGCTCTCCCGGCCCCCACCTCTCCATTCCGCTAACCCGGGGCCCGAAGTCTCCACCGGGCTCCCCTCCCTGCCCTCTCCTCCCGGTGGCCCCGAGAAAACGAGCCGAAGCCCCCCGGAGTCCACCGCAGCGAGAGCCCTGTCCCTGCCCGCTCCAGGGTGTCACCTTGGCCTCGCCGCCGCCCCGCCCCCACTCCACACGCCGGTGGGGAAGGGGCTCCCGCCCGGCCGGGGTTCGGGGGGCGCCGGCCGGGGTCCGGGGGCCCGCGCGGCTGGGAGCGGAGCGTGTGCTGGGGAGAGTTGGGGAGTGCGCGCGCGCGAGTATGTGTGTGTGTCGCTCTCCGTCTCCCGTCTGGGCTCCAGCGCGCTCGCGGGCCCCCCGGTCGCCTCTTTCCCGGTTCTCAACCCGGGCCCCCACCGAGTTGAGACAGGGCACCTCGTAAAAAGGTGCTTCTGGCCGAGCGGGAGGCGGGGGGACGGGCGGCGGAAAGCCCCCAGCCCCGAGTTCTTCTCAATAAAATCGGACAAAAAATTCAGAGAAAAATAGGAGCGCTTGAGAGAGCAAGCGAGAGGGGACTGAGGCTCGGGAGAGGACCGAGGGGATGTGCCGTCGTGCGATGGCTGGGGCTGGGGGAGCCCCGAGACCTCGAAGGGGGTCATCAGGGTGGCGCCGAGGGGGTGCCGAAAGTGGGGGGCCGTGAGGCGAGGTGGGGAGGGGGCTCGAAAGGAGAGTGCGGCTCAGGAGACGCCAGAGGGCGAGAGGTCCTGGGCACGAGGCACGGGAAGAGAGAAGGTCCGGCCGGGGGAGGAGGAGACGCTGGATTTGGGGAAGGGGGTACCCTGACAAAGGGGGTGACAGGAAGGTCAGGGGAGAAGTGAGACGGGGGACGCTCAAAGGGTGGGGGGCGGGGGAGCTCAGAGACCAGCCTGGGGCGCCAGGGGAACGAGGGGGTGCCCCTAAGGAGCCGGCGAGCCTCGGGAACCCTCGGAGCGGCACGGGGGGCGCCCCAAGGCTGCGGCCCCGAGGGCTAGGGCAGAGTCCGGAGCCGTGGGGGGAGGGTAGCGGGCCGTCCCAGGAGCGGGCCGGCGGCGAGAGTTGAGGGTCTGGTGCGTGGAAGTGAGCGTGCGGGCGCGGGAGCCGCCGCCGGGCGCCGCCCGCCGGACTCGGCCTCCCTCCCGGCGCCGTCCCGGCCTGAGCGGGGCGAGGCGGGGGAGGGGGCCGCGCTGAGTGCTCACCCGAGAGGGTCTCGATGGCGCGGATGGCCCAGTTCTGGTCTGGGTAGTCCACGAAGGCGTAGCCGGACTTGAGCAGGACCTGTCCCGCCAGGGGCAGCTTCCTGTCCCCAAAGAGCTGCCGGAGGTCGTCGGCGGTGACGGCGGGGCTCAGGTTCCCGATGTAAAGCTTGTTCATCATCCGTCTCTTCCCCGAGAGCCCGCGGCTCCCCCGGCCCGGTACCCGGCGCTCCTCGCCTCCTCCGCTGCCCTCGTCTCTCCTCCTCCTCCACCCCCCCTCCCCGCCCTCCGCCCGCCCGCCACCCACCCCCACCCTCAGCCTGGCTCCCCCCACCGCGGCCGGCCCGGCCCGCCCGGGGGCAGAGGCGGAGGCGGGGACTCGGCGCGGCTGCCTCCTCGGGGCAGAGTCCCGGGCCGGGCGGCGGCGCGCGGACAAAGCGCTCTCTCTGCCTCCCTCTCTCTCCCTCTCAAGGCGGTGGCGGGAGGAGGAGCAGCGGCGGGCGGCGGCAGCGCACCCCGCGTGTGTCTGTGTGAGAGTTTGTACGGGCGTGTGCGCAGCCGAGAGGGAGCGAGCGAGCGCCCCCTCCCCGCCCCGCGCCGCTGCGCCCCTTGCCTCGCGCCCCCAGCGCTCGGCAGTGGCTGCTTGGGCTCCGGCCCCGCGCCAGGCGGGCGGAAGCGGGTCGCGGCCCCGGGCTGGGGCTCCGGGCGCCGGAACCCCGGGCAGGCGCGGCGCCGAGGCCGGGCGAGCTGCGGGGCGGGGGAAGGCGCGCCCCGGGCGCGGGTGGGAGCGCGCGAGGGGGCGACGGGGAGCCTCGGGCGTGGGAGAGAGAGGGGCCGCGAGTGAGCGCGGAGAGGGGTGTGCGCAAGGTGGACCGGATGTGAGTGCGCGGCTACCAGGGTGAGCGGGAAGGTGTGTCCCGGAGGTGAGAGGCGAGAGCAGGCTGGGAGACAACAACTTTCGTAGCGACTTGGCCGAGGCTGGCGCCCTGCGCGTTCCCGGGCCGTGCGCTTGCTCTGAGACCCGATCCCTGCCACGCTCTCCGAGGCGACCGAGCGGCGCGTGTGGTCGAAGGATCACGCGCGGGAGTCGGGACGCCTGGGACCGGGGTCGGCCGGGCCCTCGCGGGCCGTGCTCGCGGGAAAGTGGTTCCCGGTCCCGGGCCTCAGTTTCCCGACCGGAGAGGGAAGGCGGAAGGCCAGCGCGGAGTCACGTCCCCTCCGCCCAGACCCCGCGCGTCCGGAACCCCGCGGCAGGCGGCAGCCTGACGTTGGCAGCTGCTCTCTATTCTGGGAAGTGCCGAGGGCTTCCCGGGCGGCCGCGGCGAAAGCCAGGTGGCGGGTGGGGAAGCGAACGCCGAGGGGCCAGGGGCTGCGGGGAGGCCGGAGCGCTGGGGTCAGCGGCCGGGGTACGGATGCTCGCCGCCTGGCTGCGCGGCCGGTTCAGCTCCAAAGCCAGGGTGGTGGGAGGCGAGGGTGGCTGGAAGCGGAGGAGCGCAGGCTGTGTAGGAGTTCCCCGAGCACTGGGAAGGGCCGGGAGAGGAAAGAGGTCCTTCCAAGCGGAGGAAACAACGTGACCGACGGAAGAGGCAGGGTTGGGATGAGAGCAGGCTGGAGCCGAGGGGCTCGGGCAGGATCCAGACAGGCTAGAGCGGGCTGCAAGTTCCGGGGCCCGGCTGGAAGCCTGATGGTTAGAGCCTGGTCCCGGCCAGGAAATGAAATTCTACAGAAGGGAGAAAAATGGCAGGATTCAGAGGTGACGAGGCAGAAGATTCCAAGCTCTGGACCTCTGGGGGGCCTTTGGGAGAGTTGAAGGTTTGATCGTGGAAATACTGGGTTTTGTGAGGGCGTTGGGGCGCGGGTGCGGGGGGTGTCCCTGGGTGAAGTCACGAATGCAGGAATGGAACAAGTTCGGGTCTCCTGACTGGGTCATGAAGTAGTATTGTCTTTCCCAAGCTTTCCTGTTGGTGAGCGGCGTGGAGGTAACGGGTCTTGCTGGATTTTGTATTTTCCGCAAGTACTCCCAGGTGATTCTGGTCTGGGAAATACCGTTGGAGTGGAAGGCCTAACTGCCCCGGACTCAGACCTTCTCTCTGCCCCCAACTTTGTGCCCTGAGATGTTCCAGCATTCTTGAGCCTAAGTTTCTTCATCTATAAGGAGATAACCAGTCCTCGCAGGGCTATTGTGAGGGCTACAAAATGGGTAACTGCCTAGCGTGTTGAGAAACGGGTGGTCAGATGGTTTCTGACCTGTTTCTCTTCTTTCCACCAGGAAGTCATGAACTTTTAAAAGACTTTATTCTAGAGAAGGAGATCTTCTTAACTAATTAGATGTCCAGAGGAGAAAATAATGAATCCATTTTCACCTAGATATTTGCAGTTATTTGAATTCTGGCTTTTGTCTCAACTATTCACATATTTTTTCTCTCTCTCTAGAAAAAGAATCGGATTTTACTGCTCCAGGAGTTGAGAATGAACTTGGTTACTAATCCCCAAAGTAATAGATAAACTAGGTGTGGATGCTTCTTTACTAAATTGTATCAGAGAATCACAAATGAACATAACTTGTGCATGCATAAACCTCAGCAGACTGAACTAACCATCTTTAGATTATTTACACACGTGCTCCTAATTGATATGGTCACCTTTATATTATAGGACAGCACGTTTGCTTATTCACGGGTACATGTAAAGGAGAAATGACAGTGGCAGGAATAGTTGGCCTCATTCCTCTCCAACAGGTTAGAAAAGCTGTTTTGTTGTTGTTGTGTAGCATTTTAGATACATCAATTATTTAGTCCTACTGTAAGACGAAAAACAGCTTCACATGGGCAGTAGACAATGTACAGATTCTTGGCAGAGGTGGTGTATCAGTCCATTTTCATACTGCTCTGAAGAAATGCCCAAGACTGGGTAATTTATAAAGAAAAAGAGGTTTAATGGACTCACAGTTCCACATGGCCTGGGAGGCCTCCTCATAGCGGAAGGTGCAGGAGGAGCAAAGGTACATCTTACATAGGGGCAGGCAAGAGCACGTGTGCAGGGGAACTTCCCTGTATAAAACCAGCAGATCTGGTGATACTTATTAACTACCACAAGAACAGCATGAGAAAAACCCACCCCCATGATTCAGTTACCTCCCACCTGGTCCCGCCCATGACGTGGGGATTACGGCAGCTACGTTTCAAAATGAGATTTGGGTGAGGACACACCCAAACCGTATCAGGTGGCTTCTGGTGAACTGTTCTTACCCTGCTTCACCAAGTCACTGAAACTTTTTTTTTCTGAGAAATAACTGCTCTTTGCTGCACTTGTCAACTGTCCTGCTAGAGTTTTGGAAACAGCGGGGCTGCAGAAGGAGGGCTTGAACTGTAAGTGTGATGGAGGCCATGCTTCCACTATACCCCTGGTTTGCAGCATCTACAGTGCCTTATCTTAGAATGCAGAGTTATTTTTCACATGATAGAGAAGGAGTAGGGGACCTCTGAAGACAATAGGGGACAGCATCCAAATGCAAAACCAGAAATCCAGAGACCTTGCTCCTGCCAGACAAAACTTATTTTCTACCAGTTTTCTCTTGAGTTCCCCTACTTATCCCTCCCCCAGAGAGCTGAAACAGAGATCATCTTGATTGATGTAGACTTGGTTTACGCCTGATAAGCCAAGATTTTATGAACGTTTAACAGAGGTCAGAAATTTAGAGAAAATCTTATAGTAGGCATATTACCTTTTAAAGCATGAATTAACTAATGTTTTCCTCAAGAGTTTCAAAGGCAGTACAGATCCTCATGGTTTCCCAGTGATTCTTTTAGGCAAGACAGTGATAAGGTGGCTGGGACAAGCTTTCTTAATCCTTTTCAGGTAGGAAAACTGAAGCCCAGGAAAGTATAATTTTTTCTTGATCACACAAAGGGCCTGAAACACACCTGGAAACAACATTTTAGTCTAACAACAAAGAGTTCATAAGTATTAAGTTTTTTTCTTTTTTTCTTTTTTTCTTTAAAAAAAAAAAAAAAAAAAAAGAGTCTTACTGTCACCCAGGCTGGAATGTAGTGGGGTGATCATGGCTCACTGCAATCTCAAACTTCCAGACTCAAGCAGTCCTCCCACTGTAGTGTCCTGAGTAGCTGGGACTACAGATGCATGCCACAATGCCCAGCTAAAGATTTTTTTAAGAGATGGGATCTCACTATGTTGCCCAGGCTGGTCTTAAACTCTTGAGCTCAAGCGATCCTTTTGAACCTACAAAGCCATAGCGGAATGTTTTTTGCTCGACTGATAATGTAGTCAGTATAACCAGTGTCTCTAGATAATGTGAGAATTTGAAAGAGAAAGTCAAGCCTATTTGCTGGCAGGCTGGGGCATAACCAACATTTGGAGGTAATTTTTAGAAGGTCTTGCACCTGTCTGTGCAACAGGAATGATTTGGTAGTAGGGTAATGTCCCTTAGACCTGGTGCCAACCATTTTGGCACCAGGGACCGGTTTCATGGAAGACTATTTTTCCACAGATGGGTTGGAGGGTGGTTTCATGATGAAACTGCTTCACCTCAAATCATCAGGCATTAGTTAGATTCTCACAGGGAGCATGCAACCTAGATCCCTCATGTACAGTTTAAAATAAGGTTCAAACTCCGATGAGAATCTAATGCCACCGCTGATCTGACAGGAGGTGGAGCTCAGGCAGTAATGCTTGCTTGCTCCTCACCTCCTGCTGTATAGCCAGGTTCCTAACAGGCCATGGTACCAGTCCATGGCACCAGGGTTGGGGACCTCTGCCTTAGACACCTTTTCTTGAGTTGGCATAAGATAATTGCCTTATGCCAGTTACTTCACCTGTTTGAGCTTCAGATTCCTCGTTTGTAAACTAGCCCAATTGTTTCCTCAGTATAAATTCTAGCCCTTCTCCCCCTGCATTTTCATATTATGCAAATGCTAGGCCATTTCAGAATTCTGTCTTTTTGCACATTTGTTCTCTTTCCCTGGAATGCATTTCTTCCCCTGGTAAACTCCTGTCTTCCCCTGACTTGGCCCCATGATACACATAGCACTTCATTCATACAGATAAAAAATATTTTGTCTAGTGATGTTTACAACTTTGTGAATATATTGAAAACCATTGAAGTGTATTTCAAGTGAGTAAATTTTATGGTATGTGAGTTATATCTCAATTTTTAAACATGGAGGGTGGAGGGAAGCCTTCCCTACTACATGGTGGGTTTCTGGAGGAATGAGGTCTTCTCATTTTCCTTTTTGAATTTCGTTTGGCCAGTAT